AGTGCTGCAGTGCTAAGTCTCTCCTGGAGAGATCCCGGTCCAAGAGGAGGAGCAGGGAGGGCCTCCAAGGGTGGCTGAAGAGGGGAGCGAAAGAGCCAGTACTCAGAGAGAGGCAGAATCCAGTTTTGGAGTCGCTCAGGTTGCACAGGTAGGGGCAAAACGATGGAAAAGCTGCTTGGCGCCCCGTGTGTTGTAGAATGACAACGCGCGGCCGCTCAGCGCGCTGCGCTGTTCCAGGAGAAACTCCCGTCGGCCGAACCGGCTTTCCTTCTCCAAGACAGCGAGCGGGGCGATAGGGGCAGTTCCTCGTGGCGTTGTGCAAGGCGCCTGACTCAGGACGGGTGGCAGGGTGATTAAGAGCTTCGCGCAGCGCGCCAGCCCTCGAGCCCAGGGCGCAGGGCTCGGGCAAGCCTCCCTCACCAGGAAGCTGCCCCGAACCTGCCTTTCCTGCATCCCACGGGACGGGATTTCACAGTTCTCGCTGGAAAACCTGGGCTGTCCCTTGCCTCTACCGCCCCATCCTGCCCAGAGGTAGCTCCGGATGGAAACAGGCCCCCTAAAAATCAAGTTTGCTCCCAGCTCCCTAGGGCGAGCAGAACAGATGACGGCAGCGCGGGAAGCTGCATTTGCTTTTAATTGTCCTCATTTCACTGAATTGCTAATGCTCTCCTCCTCCCACACTACAGAAAAAAAAGAAAAAAAGATTTTTTGGAAAGGATGAGTTGACTCAACTCTCCTACAGCGCATGACAGCAAAACGCAGTTTTTAGCTTTGCATCTAAGCAAGCTTAGAATACTAGTGCATGGTTTTTCTCCCTTTTTTTAAAGTCTTCTTAGATCAGCTAAAACATTATTCTGAGGAGAAGAGAGAATGAAAGGCTTTGATGTCAATGAAGGTATCGACTCTGGTCCTAAACCAAGCACAGGTAAAATCCCTTTGTAAGGTGATCGTACGAAGAAGTTATTTTAAAGTTGTCACAGGCTAAGTGCCTTGTTTTTTTCCAGCTCACTTTATCCAGGACAGAGCAAAGGGAAGGCTGGCTTGAAGCATGAGGGGCACCCACACAAGCAAGAAAAAGGTTTGCAAAGCTTGAGTCCAGCTGGCATGGTTCTGTGCATTGGGAAGAAAGACATGTTTCAGTGGAAACACTTGGAAATCGTCATCCCTGAGAAACTGGCAAATGACAAAATTGCCGAGAAGGGCGAAAGGGGCTCGATTTTGTTTTGGCCCAAGCTGAGACAAATACATGGGAAAGACAGTGAGCAGAGCTGCAGCTAAGATGATCCTGGGTGCTGGTGGTGAAGAATATCCAGGGGAAAGCCCTTCCCCACGTGATTTAACTGTGCCCAAGCCTGTGAACTAGCATTTCCCATCTGTCCTTCCACACCGTGTGGGCCGGTGCAGCACACGGGGCTCCTCAGGAGAAAGTCCCAAGTGCTTTGAAGAAGGGCCTTGTGTGAGACCTGGCTGCTAGAATGACACAAAATCGATGATGCTGGTGTGAATTCAAGTCACAACTCTGAAATACCCTGTTGCCGTTGTACTTCTGAAGGGCAGCAGCTCAGTCCAGAGCTGGTTATTATACACCACGTAGACATGGCAGAGGAGGGAAAGCGAAGCAGATTAATGATTTAATTGGGTATAAAGCAAAGCTGCTGGCTGGCAAGCACTAAACAAGCAAGAGGCATCTCTCAGTGCATGGCCGAGCCGTGGGGCTCCTCACGGCCAGGATTTCCAGCACCGAGAGCCCACATGCAGATGCATAAAATCAGAAAAAACCCCAGAATAAAGAGCCTCTAAGCTAGAGGCTGCACGAGCCCTGGGCAGCATCGCGTGCGCTGCTCTGTGCTTGTTCCTCCCAGGTGCACCCCCGCGTCACTGCTGGACACCCACGGCCAGGCTGGCGCGAGCGCGATGCGCGTTTGAACCCTCCCCACGCGCAGCCAGACGTGGAGGGCCGCCCGCGCTGCCAGCCCTCGGGCTCCAGGTCTCACTTCGCTCTCTTGCGCTGGCCGTGGGTTTTGAGCTCTCCCTTCCACGTGCGCTGCCTCCCCTGCACGCGCTGCGGGGAGCGGAGGCCCCGGCGAGGGCTGGCGCGTGGGCCGGGAGCTCGG